AATTCAAAAAAGATGATGAAAATGATGAGGACGAAGTAAACAAGGAAGAAAATTAACAGAGAAATAAATTCAATTTATATTGAAATTAATAATATATATTAAATTAATAATTATTAAAAATAATAACAAATTAATAATATAATAATATTTTCTATAAAGTAATAATATATAGAAAAAAAAAACATATATATATATGTGCGTATATATATGTATATACATATATAGAGGGAGAGGGAGAAACGTGATACATTTCATATATAATCTATGCTTAAATAAATTAAACATATTTATTGGAGGCAGTTGAGAGGAGAGGGAGGGGGAAGGAAAGAAAAAAAAAGAACCTTGCAACTGGTTAATATTGTTCAATGAACTACAGGAAAATTATGGCTTATGTAACAAAAGTCACGACCATCTTTAGATGTTGAAAATAGACACTCTTTAAAATTGACGATGTAAGAAGAAACGGCATTTATTATTATCTTCTTTTTCTTCGTTTCTTTTTTCCTTTTATATGTTTTTTTTCTTTTTTTTCTTTTATATATATTCATCACTTGATTTCTACGAAATCGAAGAAGTCTTTGAAGAAGTTGGATCATGTGATAATGCATGTATGTAAGTACTTGTAAGTACTACGTAAGTATGTATATACGTATGTATATACGTATGTATGTGTAGAGTTTGCACTTTCGTGTAACCTTGAATTCACGGTCAAGTTCTTACGATCTTCCGGTTCACGTGGTTGTTTTTTAACGCGTTGCACCATGTGTGCACTGTGTGCATTTGCTGTGCATTTGCTGTGCACTGCTCTACTCTACTCTTCTGTGCTAAGCAAACGATCAAACGAGGATAAGAATCCGACTTGTGTTTAATTCGTCGGCAGTTTCCACTATAAAATTGTTAATATACGAATCATAGAAGCAAAGTTCCGGTTTTGTTATAGCAAGAATATTTTACTCTTTTATAACTAACTGAAAAAAAAAAACAAAAAAAAAAAAATTATTCGTGCTTCGTTTATGAAGTTTTCTTTTTTTGAATTGTAAAATCTCTCTAAATAGTCTTTCATTAATTCCAATATCAATTTTTTTGTTTCTCTATAATTAACATAAGAAAAAAGTACACACATATGTACACACACATTTGTATACATTGATGAGACAAAAGTTTTTGCATGATTTTAAAAAACGATTATTCTTTTCTTATTTCGACACTTCGAGCTAATTTTTTTCTTTTCTTTTCTCTTTCTCTTTCTTTTCCTTTTCTTTAGATTTTCTGAGTTACTTCGAACTCTTTCACCAACCTCCTCTCGAATCTGTATATAAAAAATTAAATTATTTCAATCATAGAGAAGGAAAAGAAAAAATAAACAGAAAACAATAACAAAAAAGAAAAAAAGAAAAAAAAAATAATAAAAGAAGTATTCTGAACCAATATCTTGGATTGAAATGAATCCCAATAAAAATTCAAATATGGCGAGCATAGACAGGTACAAGTTTTTAAACAGAAATTCGAAGCAACGACTCGTTCATGGAATGAAGAATCGAGTTTCTGCCTTCGTTTCTCTCTCTCTCTCTCTCTCTCTCTTTCCCCTCTCTTGTTTTTTTTTTTTTATATCTATCTCTGTCTCGTCTTTTACGAGACGACCGACTTACCTCGAACACACCTGATGTAATTGTTGAACTCCTTTTGCAGCCTGTTGGCGGAATATTGCTGTCTCGTGAAGTTCTGTAGGTGCTCGTCAAGTATGTCGTCCGCTGTTCTGTCGACCTTCCCGAGATTCTGAAGGAACTGTAAAAGAAAAAGGAAAAAAAAGAAATTTTTTTTTTGTTTGTTTTTTCTTAACTAGTTCTTTTTTTCCTCAAGTTCTCATCAAATCCAATGAAACATTCATACTAAAAAAGAAAAAAAAAAAAAAACTAAAGAAATAAATAAACCTCATTTAATACTAATCTATCACTTTACGAATCTATGAAAAAAATTTAAAAGGGGGAAAAAAAAAGATCTCTACATTAAATTTTTGCCTTAAATGATTGAGATATTTCTATGACCTACGAGAGCTTTTTATGGTACTCGCAATGAACTTCTCTTTAATTGACGATTTTTATCGATTTTATGATTTTTTTTTTTCCTTACGATTTAATACAATTAAATTTTGGATCTAATCGTTCTTATGATTATCATTCTGTATTATAAATTTTTCTGTTCCAATTTTTTTTTTCTTCTTTCTTTTTTATTTTTTTTTTTTTTTTTTACTGGTTCATAATTCTTCATGGCATTTTCACGGTAAATTTATGTCTAAATAATTTCTTCTATGTTTTATAATTGCTTACGGTAAATTTTTTTTCTACGGTAAAACTTTTCATTCATATGGTTCGCGGTCTTCATTGGTTTTCTTCGTTAAACATTTCAATTCTAATAATTTTTATGTGTTATCCTTTATTTTCAATAGTTTCTATATAGAAGATTGAAATGTAAAAATATTTTTTTTTTATCTTCGATCCCCATTTTCTTTTTCCATCCGAAAATGATCCCTTTTTCTTTTTTTCTTTTTATTTATTTATTTATTTATTTATTTTTTTTAATTTTTAATTTTGAAAATGAACAGGGTATGACTCAGAAAAAAAAATTTTTCGTGAAATCAAACAACCATTGCGTGGGAGATTCAATACCTAAGCGTGGGCGAAGGATCGTACGCGTTTCCATATACGTACCGTATGTGAAAGAACGAACGGATCTTTTCAAGAGAAGATATATACACACACACACACACACACATACACATACACACGCACACGTACTCACAGTATCATACAAATACAGAAAAAAGAGGATGATCCTGCGATGGATCTGTATTAAATAAAATTCCATTAAAATTCTTCAATGCGTAAAACAGATCGTTTTCTTTTGGATCGAACTAAAAATCCCTAGATGATTTAAGAGACGAAAGAAAAAAAGAAAAAAAAAAGAGAAAAAAATAATCAATCGTTCCGTTCCGAGACTTACTTAGATCACATTATTTTTTTGTTGCTTTTATCACCCTGTCCCCTCCTAATCTAAATTATAAAACAAATAAGTAAGTACATACGTGTTTGCAACTCGTAATAACTGCAAGATTAGTTCGTAATTAATGCAAGTTTTAAATAATTTCGAGAAAAAAAAAAAATAATAATAATAATAATAAAAAAATGATCTAACAACTTGTTCATTCCATATATTGTGCATTGTGCGTGTGCGTGTGTTAAATAAATATTTAATAATTGAAAGAATCATTCAGATAGACGGGGAAACAGAAAGGAGGTCTGTGAACTCGAGTTGGTTTCATTCGTCATTGGTTGATAAAGATGAATGATAATTCCCTTCAAAAAAAAAAAAAAAAATATATATATATATATATGCTTCTAAAAACAAATAACAACGCTTTAACGATTATTAGTCATACGGTGAAGTAGGCGGGGTGGGCTGTGGGAGAAGATAGAGGCAATGTATTTATTTATTGACAATTAATATGATAACCGATAACCGAATAATTTCTTGTGATAATATAAATTCAATAAATAAATAAATAAATAAATAATAATGACAATAATCTTCTACATTTTTTTTTCCTTTTTTTTTTTTAACAATAGAAATAGAATGCAGTTTCATTGAGTTAATCGTTGTCTCATCTCTTTTAAAGTATGCATTATTATCATTATATCTTATTTCAAGCAAATATAAGTCAGCCATTACGTTGTGAAAGGGTGCAATATAGGTTATGTAACGATGGAGACATCAACCATAATGGAAAAAGAGAGAGAGAGAGAAATTTTACACTTGCTTGATCTATTCCTAGACAAAGAGCTATTATAATTTGATGAAAGTTTCAATTAAAAAAAAAAAAAGACTACCCTTTATTATATTTTACTATGCCTAACTACTCAAATGTTTACAATTTCCACGTAGAGAGGGTGTTGTGATCAATACGAAAAAAATGGCTCCCGTCTAGGAACTTTCTGCCCTCCCCCCCAACTACTTATCTACACACTCATACAAAGATTTGATTCAACGAATCAAATTTCTAATAGAGCAGATATTATTTACAATATATACGCAATAATATATATATAATTATAAATATATATAATTACGATATTATGATATTACGATATTAAAAGATTTTTGTTATTTACATTTAGATTTAGAGTTTTCATTTAAATTTAATAGAATGAACCATAAGTTTTTGAATAAATTCTTTGTCGTTGGAATCCGACTCGTTATCGACCGAGTAACGAACATACCGACCGATGATGAGTCACTTAATGAGATACGCCTTAACGATTAGCATTTAATTAATGTTCTTTTCTCCCCGCTCTCTCTATTCCTTTCTTTTTGTTCTTATCTATGTTTATATTTTAAGAATGTTAGACATTGGATGGAATGTATTTAGAAATTTCTATAAACTAAATCAACTATTCATTTCTTTCCTTCTATCTCCCCTCGTCTCATCTATCCTCCCATCCTCATTGCCGCCCACCCTCATGGCCTTCTTATTTCGAATTCAAGTTAAACGAACAATCTTTCGAACAAATATATTCCTTCGACACTCTTCTTATCCTCTCCACCCTCTCCGCGCCAGTAACTCTCGCCGTCCCCTACCTCACCCCATTGACGCCATCTTTCTTTTACAAACTGGACATTAGCCAACATTCCTTCTAAGTCCGTCCATAACCTATGTAAGTAGTGTGAGTATAGGCGATTCTCTTAATACTATTTGCCACTTGTGCTCGCGTTTCTCTCTTTTCTCGCCGAAAAAAAAAGAAATTTTTTTTTTTTTACTTTTTTTTTCAGATAAAAGGAAGACAGCAAAAAATTATAAAAATTTAATGCAACAAAAAATTGACTGACCGAATAGTTTGAAATTAATTATACGAAAGAATTATAGGTTTCAAATTCTATGCATATATATATATATATATATATATAAATGTATATATATATATATAATATATATATATAAATATATATATGTATAAATGTCTCTCTTATATAAAATAAACAAATTGATACTATTATAATAATCTCGTTGTGATATTATGTTGATTTGCTATGGTGAATCTTGATCACGTGACTATGATTGAAACGTCCTATTATATATATAGCATACATGTTTGTCTGCAGTCATAAACGTTCATGAAACGTGATCACAGTTTATTTTATATTAAACGTTCAATTGATTCTTTCAAGTATTTCTATAGAGCTATCAAGAGTTTAAATAAGATTATCCATATAGAAATGGCGGACATATTACAATATGGCCGTCTATATGATCATGATTACGATTCATTTGGATTCTTTTTTTATTTTTCCTTTTTCTTTTTGATATCATTATTAATTGTTACAATTAAATTCGATAAATAGATAAATATATATATATATATATATATATATATATACTATTGAATATAAAATGTTTCTTTAAATAGGACTTTAAATTTAAAAATGGTAGCCATATTGTAATAGTCATCTTGTACATATTGTGATCAAAATTACACGCGCGATTATTCTTTTTCTTCTTTTCTATTATTAATAACGTTATATAATAAATTTAATGCACAATGTTTCCTGTAACGTAGTCATCGTATGTAATAGGACTGAGTTTATAAATGATAGCATCTTGTATCTTGTTCTTCTTTCTTCTTTTCTTTTATTATTTATTCTTCATTTCTTTTATATTTTATAAATTATATATATATATATAATTTATTTATAGAAATATATATATATATATTTATATATTATATTATATATATATATATAAAATAAAGGATGGAATAGTTTCGTTATAAAAATTTCATAAAAGAATATTTCGACGTATATTGAAATTTTACTAGACAATAGTCTTCGGTTTATCATCGGAATGAGTCACTAAACAGTAAAACTAATCCTGCATTTTTTTTCGTCATACCTATCTGTTAGGTTATGTTTTATGTCGTTTTCGAACTATCAAAATGTGTCATTAAAGAATGATTATTTTTCAAAATGGTGTGTCATTGTACACCGCATACATATACATATATATATACATACATACACGCACATATACATATATATATATGTATATATATATGTATATATATATATATATATATATATATATTTTCTAATCGTATAACTACGAGAAAGGTTTGTAACTTTTTTATTAAAATAAAAAGAAAAATAATAATAAAAAAAAAAATTGATTTTTGAAAGTCACTCGATAAGCAACTATTGGAACACAATGTATGATAAATTATCGATCAATTAGAATACCGCAGTACAACGTATAACGTTATTTCACCTATTCGAGAGGAGACACAATTTTTGTTACGGTTACCAGGTTGAAGTTATTTACCGTTAGCTCTCTCCCTCCCTCACGATTAGCATAAGTTACACCTGATACGAGCAACGTTGTTCTGTAACGAAGAGTGAACTCGTTTAACAGCTCGAGCTTGACCTCAATTTTACACGTAATCAATATAATCATTGACAAAAATGCACAAAGATGCACGTGTTAAATTAAAAAAAAAAAAAATAAAATATATATATATATATATATATATATATATAGATAAAATAAAAATAAATAAAAATGAAATAAATAAATAAATAAATAAATAAAAATAAAAATAAAAAAAAATAATAAAATAAAGTAAAACGAAAGATGGTGCAGTCTTATTATTACGTAAAGACAAGTTTTGGGGAAAAAAGAAAAAAAAGAAAAAAAAAAAAAGAAAAGAAAAAAAAAGGAGAGAAGAGAACTCTGTAAGTATTAAACGACAATATCGTTTAATGATAAGAATATTTATGAGGTATTGGAAAAAAAAAGAAAAAAGAGTCGTATGTATATCTCTATATATCTGTACATATACATATATACGTATGCAATAAGCTTTCTTTATTTTATGAAATATTCCAGTTATATAAGGGGAACATTAAGATCGCGTGTATCTATGAGCAAAAAATTCCAATAGAAACTTTAACCGTTTTAGAAAAGGAAAGAAGATATATATATATATATATATATATATATAGTTAACGCAACAACAGTATCGAGAGAAAAAGAAAGAGAGAGAGAGAGAGAGAGAGAGAGAGAGAGAGAGAGAAGAGAGAGAGAGAGAGAGAGAGAAAGAGAGATGATAGAAAGCGATGATGTTTGAAGATCAGAATCAACTTATATTTACCGTAATACCGATTTCCACCAGGAGGAAATGAAATAAACAGCTGATCGAATCTTTAATATTATTATCTTTCCATATTTTCTAACATATATTTCCTATCATGCGTTATAGTTTCCATGAATGACTACTCAAGTCTGAAGTATTGGTAGTGAAAGTTTTGCTCGGAGCAGGAAGAAAAAAAAAAAAAAAAAAAGAAAAGGAAGAAAGAAAGAAAAAAAAAGACGAAAAAAGAAAAAAGTATATAATACGGCGTTAGAATATATACGTGTGTATCTCTCTGTGTGTGGGTGTGTGTGTATGTGTGTGC